ACATCAATACTATCCTTAGTCCTTAAGAATAGATCAAGTTGCCTCTTAAAGAACTCCTGGGAAGTCGCTTGGACTAGCTCGGCCGGCAGCAAATTCCAGCTTTTGACAACTCTTAAGGAGTAGAAGTCGTGTCTACAGTCCGTTTTGCTATGTTGTGTCTCTAGTTTTTGGGCGTTACCCTTTAGGTTAGTGTGGGAACGAAGCTGAAGTAGGTGTTTGAGAGGATGTCCAGAAGTGTTAAGGATACTATAAGCCATCAGAAGGTCACCTCTGAGAATTCTATGCTCTAATGGGTAAAGGTTAAGTGAATGGAGGCGCTCTTCGTAAGGCTTAAATTTGAGTCCTCGAACTGATTTCGTCGCTCGCCGTTGGATACGCTCCAGGGTGTCCTTATCCTTTTGGAGTGAGGGAGAAATACGATGTTTCCGTACTCTAAATGGAGACGGATAAAACTATTGAAGATTATATGGAAAGTTCTTCCGTCCAACTGGCCAAAAATTCGCTTCAATGTTATCAGTGCAAGGTTTGCTCGGAAGGCATTTTTGTCACATTTAGCGTAAGACTTTAAATCGTAGGGCACCAGGACTCCTAAATTTCTTTCGACTTGGGATACTACTAGAGAGGAGTTTCCTGAACTATAACTGTAGTCTGCCCTAGTACTGAGCCCTGGGGGACCCCACTAGGACATTCCATAGCCTGAGATAAAGTAAAATTGGCCCTGACCTTAAAATGTCGATTTTTCAGGTACGAAGTGAGCCAATCGATTAGAGGTGGTCTAATACCCAATCGTTTGAGCTTATTGATAAGACATGTATGGTTAACCTTATCAAAAGCTCTTGAGAAATCTAGGTAGATGATATCAACCTTCCCCTTGTGATCAAGGATGCTTGTCCATCTGTCCACCGCAGTCAGCAGGTTGGTTATATAAGAGTAGCCCTTCCTGAAACCATGCTGTTGGGGCGAGAAATTTAAGGACAGTAAATTGTCATTATGCCATCGCATATCAAGGACTCCATGATTTTGAAGGTATTGAGAGAAAAGCCACTGGTCGTTAACGTGAAGGTTCGCTGCGTCGATCTCCTTTGAAAACTGGTGTGATGTGAGCCGGCTTCCAATTTTCCGGTAGTTTTCCTCGACTTAGCGAGTGTGAGAACATCACGCCAAGCGGTGTTGCCAAGATTGAGGCTGCTTCCCTCAGTATGGCAGAATGGACCATGTCCGGGCCAGGAGAAGTGTCTATTCATAAGTGCTGCAGTTTTCGGAACACCAAGTCAACGCTTAGGTCCACTTCAGAAAGTCCTATGGAATTGCAGATGAAACTGTCATCAATAAAGTTGATGTCAGCCGGTTGAAATGTTTGAGAGCAATGTGCCGCCAGAAGGTTAGCGGCGTCGCCATCATTGTTGGTCGGGCCGTTAAGACCTAGCAGTCAGGAAACTCCAGTTTTGGCTTTGACGAAGAGAGGCTGCATAACGGAATAAGCCTTTAGGATTGGAGGAAAATTTGTCCATAAGCTTTGTCTGGTACTGAAGCCTATCTTCACTTATAGCCTTCGTGTATATGTTCCTCATATATTTATATTGCCTGTACGCTCCGTCGTTGTCAGTTCGTTTGTATTCCGCCCAACAGTGCTTTTTGCGGCTTAGCAGGCGAAGGGTACGGTTCTTGATTATTGTAGGTGGCTTGCAGCTTCTGGGAACCGTTTGAGGAAATGAATGGTTTGTAGCACGTAAGAGCGTGTGCAGTAAGAAGTCCCAATGACCATCCACATCGAGTTGAGGGTAAACATCCCAATCCACCTGTTGTAGATAGTTGTGTAAAGCTGGCACATTTAACCGTTTAAAATTCCAACGCAAGTTATTGGTGGGGTATCTTAGCTTAGTTTTGCTGACAAAACTGAAGGCTATGACGGCATAATCGCTTTTTCCCAAGGGAGCCAGGATTGAGATGTTGTCAACTTCGTTTGTGAATACACAGTCTAAGCGCGATGGTGTCTGACTGTTTCTCTTTTTCCCTGTTTAATAGACTTTATTAATTATTTATTGTGTATACTAACAAGTTTGATTTGTGTTTTAGAAGCAGATCACATTTATCAAGCCAAACAGCTTACGTTTTCTGACTTTGGATAGGCTAAGACTCTGTGTTCGATAGTCTACAGAACAATTTAAACTGAATCTGTATAAAATTGCTTTCTATGCCGTGAGCCGTCCAATTCGTATTTTAGCATTCACATATGGTCCAATGCTCAAGTAGTAGAAACTTTATGTGTATATTTTGATCATCACGTAACAAAAACACCTCATGAAAATATGACCAACTAATTCATTGATCCATTCTTGTCGTGTTGCTGCTGCCAATCAGTTGTCGTCCTCTCAATTCTTAAGACTGGTCAGAACCCCCTGAGGTCTTAAGGTGCCGTCCTTCTTGTGGAGATTTTCCGGACGCTGTCAATGATCATCAGGACGAACTATTACGAAAGGCACCCGTCGCGAAAGGTCATTTATATAAGTCAAAGGGGGGGAATATCTTAACCCTGAACCAAGAGAGACCACATTAGGACATTTAATATCCTGAGAAAATAATTACCATACTCTAACTAGCTAGTCACTGAAAAAAGTCAAACCGATTAATTATTTGTAGCCGAATATCTAGGTGCTTGAGTCTGGAGATTAGAACACTCTAACTGACCCAATCAAACGTTTCCCAAAAGGTTCATTGTACTCTGCTGTGTATAAATTTACTGCGGATAATGGAATATAGTGCTTCCAAAGTTTTGCCAGTCTGAAGATATGATTGTGTTAAACCTCAGAATGTTTTTATGTTGTAAGAACCCTTTCTGAAGTCACTGAATAGCAATAAATAATGCAGTGTTAGGTAGTAATTCCCACTGAGTGTTTTTATCAGGCTGAGGACAAGCCTTCCACCTTACCTGTTCAAGGTCGCATTCAAATGTTTAAAACTCCCATCCATGTGTTCGGCGGAGTAACTTAACTCAGTTTGACAGATAAAACAGAACCATATGGTCGAATGATCAACCTGCTTAAAGGATGAATAAGTGAGTTTGCCAACTAGGCCTTACTATTGTGTGGACTTGGGTTGCCAGTGTATAAGCAGCTGAAACTTCCTGCTGAAAATTCATGAACTTTAAAGATTTTTTTCAAAGCCTCACATAATCTTGCGGAAAACTCAATTACATAAGGTCTCTCGAGTGAGTGCTTCTCGTCTCTCTCAACGATTATGTAAAGTTGGTAACTCTTAGCTGAAACAGTAGCAAATCCGAAATAATGTGGCATTTTACATAGCATGTGAAATTTTAAAGCATTAATATCGGCTTCACAGTCTAAATGAATAGGAAGTTTCTCAGAACCAACTTACATGTTTTAATGTGGTCGGGTTTTTTTTTCTGGATGCTTCTTAAGTGTAGGTAATTACCAAAAGTTTCCACAAAGCACCAGATATACATGCAAAGGCCCAGTTGAAGATTGATAAAATATCATCATCGGATCACGTGATGAACGATTTCTGGGAGTTAAGGATGCAGAACGCTAAACCCTCAGTCATTATACAACGTTACAAAATTGAGAGCAGTTGTGATGGGAATACTTAATTATCCAAATCAGTCAGATCTAAATGGATAGCATCAGAGAGTTGCAATATGCAGTCATCAGGTTTGAGAACCCTAGTTGATTAATAAAGATTCCCTTTCTGTTTAATGTATTACTCAGCACTTCTCGACACAACAGTCGTCAACACCCACGAAAAAATTAAAGGCGAACAACCAACGGAATTTCAAAGTGACAAAACAGAAATCAATCGCCTGTGCACTAGCTCCTGTGTTGCTGTCTCTTATTTTATCTGGGAAGTTTTATTCATCGGAGTGACTGCTTCGTTAGTTGAAGAAGGAAGACAAATCTAGGCATATTGTTTCAAAAGAAAAGGGTATCTAATGGCATCAAATGATTTGTGTTTCTTAATACAGGTGAAGTAAACTGGAATTGATCCGAGTGAACTTGTAGTGTCAGCCATTAGTTTTAGCCCATAATATATCTTATTCTAGTTTTCGGACATTCCATTCTATTCATTCTAAATGAGTCATATGTTGACCTTGTCAATTATTCGCTTATTAGTCTTGATTGTTTTTATATGAGCGTATATGTGTGTTTCCTTCTTATTCCATTGATCACATGTCTGTAGCTTAATTTTTTCTGACTATAAATATTGAGTAACGCTTGACTAAAATGGAGTTGGCTTCCCAGCCATCCTCCCTGCGCGTCATTTTGCTCTGTTCTATTACATTCACTTTACATACAAAATATATGTATTCGAAGGCCATTCTCGTTAATTGACTTATCTAATTCCGTTATTGACTAACGTGATTTAAGTCGACGATGATATGCGAGAATAGGCGGTAACAAACATTTATACGATCTTGGAGTCAGATCACGGGCCACCACAAACTCGATGACAATCAAGTCGATGTGGAGGTCTATAACTAATTAACATGTGACAGATTTCTGCTATTTCATCCACAGATATAAAGTTAACTGGTAACGTCTTAGCAACCTGTGGTGTTCGTAAAATTCCTGATCATTTATTGAAACCTCGTCAAACTTACATCCTAATAACTAGATGACCATAAACAAACAGCTAGAAATGGATTAGAGCTGCGTATATTAGTTATTACTTCTTGGTATTCGCCTGATATTACAGCACTCTCAGCAGCCCTATTCTGTTCCTTGAAATTCAACTTAGTGCTTTACTGAAGACTCAATTAATAATTTTCAATTATATAGAACATTTTTCTTTTATGTTTCCCTTTCTACTTTCACATACTTAGTTGTTTAACAAAATGTAATTAAAATGCACGATTACACTAATTAAAAGCTTGCTTTGTGTAGGTTTATATTCCATTTCTAGTCATCTGAAAATTTTTAACTTAGAAAATTTGTTTATTCTCATGAACCAACTTTCGTACCTCACGTTTGAAAATAGCGTTCCTGATGTCTGAACGTGATGGTATGTTGTCTGTGTAATCTAGGCCTACATTGAGTCCGTTATGCTTTTTTGCTCTTATTTCTACCTTTTAAATACAGGTGTTTAGGTGATTTCTAATGTTTTCTGTTAATAATGTTCCCAAATTAAGGATGGTACAAAATAACCTAATGTATTCGAGTACATCAAGTTATGATGTACCAACACTGGGTATTAATACCCGCTTTTAGTGTTCTGTTTCGCGTGTCTGAACTTAACTTAGTTTGGATTTTTGTACTAAACCGTTCCAGGTGACCTAACTAATTGAAAAAGTTCTTTATAACTTAAATGACACAGAGGGGGAATATTATAGATTGTTACGGAACCCTCATTGAGTATAGCTGGCCTAAAAGGTAATCCAGCTAGGGTCTTTCATTCGTTTAGACTGTCTAAAGTCAGCGGGTGGGTCGTTTCACGTTCATATTGATGACGGGAAACGGTCCTGTCTTAAGTGATTCCAGTCCCGTCACAAACTCAGTAGTCCCAGTGGAGTCTATAGTTCTTTAGATTTTATTGTACTTCAGCGTAGTTGCTTTTGCCTCTTATCAACAGGCTGAATTTGGTGGCTTAGTGAACCTGTGGCCACGTGTCACAAAGTACGGAGTTTTGTTCATTTAATGGATAGACATACTACATAGGAAGTCGTGGGATTCACTTGACGGAACTATGGCGACAGAATTCTAACAAGGTTTTGCTTGATTGGGACACAAATATTGGTATAAAGGAGCACCGAATACATATGCGCCGCACAAGTCACTTGATTTGCGTGTGAGCTGTGATACTGCCCGGGTGCCCAGACCAAAGCAGGTAGTTTCCTTAGGAGGCCACACCCGCAGTCTTTGACCTAGAAGTCTGATCCACAGGGCAGTGGAGCAACGTTAGAAGATGCAGTCCTATGGTAGCCGGTGACCAACAATTGGTTCGTACACCATTTGTTCCTTCAGGATTCTGGAGCCCATGTGCATCATTGGTTTAGAATCAGGGTTTTCCGACTCCCCTAGGCGAACTCTCCATACTCACCAACCCGGGTAGAGCGCCGGACATTCGCTTTTCGTCCTCTCAATTTCGTAAACAACACCCCCGTCGCTAGGCGGTCAGTAGGACTTCCTTGGTAGTGGCTGTATACACGTGGCCGTGTGAGAGCATTTTGAAAGAGAAAGCCGACTCTTCCCACCCTCAGCCGTACCAGGGCTTTTAAAGGAGTTTGATTTAAAACAATCGAGAAACTCATCCCATTCATGAAAACCCACCTCATCTTTGTGAAGAATTCGGCAGCAAGCTATGCTACAACTGCCATTAACTCAGCCATGACAATCCAGTATGTCTACCTTTTGTTCCACAACTAACCATACCTACTATCGTCAAGTCAAATGTAGAAGCCTCTTAAATGGAGTTCGAAATACGTCCTCGATCTACCGCAGTCTTTTCCAAGATCACATCAATTCGGTGATCCTCAATACTCATAAACACACTGTCTGACCTCGGCAATATGTGCCGTTCTGCAGTGATTAAGCATAGAAACTCACCAAACCTCTTTTTTCACAACCTAGCTCCCATGAGCAATAAGCAGCACTTTTCATGGACAATATTTACGACCAGAATAACGTCGCAACCGCTCTAAAGATGACAATGTCCAAACATTGGACAAGCGGGGATACTCAGTTAAGGCATTCAAAACTTTGACGAAACCAACCTACTTCCTAGGCAGTCTTTATTATGTTCTGCACAAACTACATAGCATGAAGGGAACCAATATTTCATATGTAGTTGAAGGCAAACTTTTACCTCGATAATTGTGACATGCTTTATCCCTTTTAAATATATGGACGACAGTTACTTCACTCTTATTTTATTTATTTATTTGAACACATGAATATTGGTACAAGAGAGCGCCAATATATATGCGCCACACAAAACAATGAGAATTCGAAGAGAAGTAGAAAAAAAAAACTAAAGAGCGCAAAGGAAAAAGAGAACAATGACGAAGAGATTGGAGTAAGGTAGTGTGGTAGTAACGACGGAACGAAAAGGTACAATCAGAAGAAATCTTTCAGGTAAAGGAGACACAACCACTTTTTATGAAGAAAGTAAAAGAAGGTTACAGCAGGATCGCCACTGGCTTCTATTCTGAGCCATATCTGATAACGTCTCTAGCCACTGTGTAGCACCATCTCTCAGACCCCAACCAGGGAGTCGTGAAGGACCGACAGAAGCCAGTCCTTTGCAGCTTTCTTTCATGCCACGACACCATTTCATGCACTGACCACCTCTCCGCTTCTTCCAACCAGTCCCAGAGTCGGCAAATAATGCACGACGTGGAATTCTCTGGGACGACATTCGTAGAACATGTCCAAGCCACCGAAGTCGGTGTTTCAAGATGGTGACACCAATTGAATTATCATCTCTGTGCCCGAACACACGATGCCGAACCTCCGCATTACTGACATGGTGTTGCCACTGAATGTCAGCAATCCTTCGGAGACAGCGATGATCGAACACAGAGAGTCGTCTAACATCCTCAACTCGGAGAGGCCAGGTTTCACAAGCATAGAGCAAAACTGCTCTAGTATAATAAAACAGTTTGATTGCCAAATCTCAAATGGTCCTGTCATTTCTATGTTCGAAATTTCATCTTCATGACGATTTATTAGTAAGTCGCTCAGGCGTCGTGATAATCGAATGCTTAGTTAAGTAATAGGTTTCGATGCCAAGTCCAACCAATTTTCCCATAATCGTCTCTTTCGGCCAAGGTTATTGTTCCTCTTGGCTGAAGACGAGTTTTGTACCCGCTAATAAATAAAAAATAAAGCTTTTGAATTGGATAAATTTATGTTTATTCACTGTATCGAAGTCTAAGTAGGACGTAATATACTTATATCCAGGTCTTTGTTGCACTAATTATAGTTACTGAAATGTCCTGAATTTGCTAGAATACCACACCATAGCGCACAATATAATAAGGCTTCAGTAAAGGATCTCTGTATCTTACTGATTGGTTTTAAAAATATTCAAACGTTAAATTGCATTAGCTCACTCATTATGTACTTGGGTATGAGCCTCACCTTAAGTGTGAGGACTAATACTACTAAGTTGCCCTGACCAATGTAGGTGGGTGGGCCCGAACCCAAAAGTATGTGCTTTTGTAACTAGAATTTCAGATGTTGGAAATTATGGGCTGAAGACTGTAGGCAATGTAAGTGGAATAATAGTAATATAAATGTATCTGTCTTTCTCCATAAATTTTACGCGAGGTTTGTGCGCATAGATGTTTACTATCCCTCTATACTATTCCCATTCGTTCCACTTAATTCCCTTTGTAACACTTTGTCTACTATCAATAAGTGTGGTAGCTTGAACGGACATATTATTCTGAAATTTTTTGGTTCTGTTTATCTGTTGTTAACCTTTACAGCTTCTGTATAGAAATTCAATAACAACTCAATTGTCTTTCCGACTTATTTTGCTATTCCTCGTACTTTTAACAGATCACATTCATGCGACTAAAAAGTTCAAACACAGTGAATCCAATGAGGAATCAAATGAAAGTCATGACAGGCGCAAACAAGTTGATGCACATGTTCAAGCCTTCCTCAAGGCTGTGCTTGATCATGCTCATGGTGGTACTGTCAAGCAAACAAACAATCCAAACAAAAAAGATAAATCTGTGATAAAAAAGGATGCTTCCACTCAGACAGAAGAACAGAATGACTTTGAATCGTGTTCGTACAACCCAGATCAGTCAGTTTCTGAATATCTGGGTTGCAACAAAAATGAAAAAAGTAGTCGAGTTCCTAATCGAGAAATGTACAGCGAGGAAGTGCTAAATTTACTGTCCCAACAAAATTTTTATTCTGAAGAAGCACAAAACGATCTCTCTTTTAATGACAACTCCACCCACTGCTATTCCACTCAATGTGATACTGGTCTCTTAAATCATGGTGTTAGTAATAAGAGTGCCCGCATTTCTTCTAATAAGATCAAAAGAGCAATAGACGAATGGGTTAGAAAATATGAGGATTGGTTTTTCCAAAACTTTGGAATGGATGTACGAACGGCTTCCCATTCATTGAATCAAAACCTGAGAGTGAACTCAAACAAAGTTCAGAAGTAATTATTGGTGCTCAAACATTGTTCAACACTAATCCATCCGATTCTCAAATGCTAAATCCTTGCGTTATATCACACTCACCTGTAAGTTATTTCATCCCAGAGGGTTCGTTGTGCACAATCGATGGTAGGTTTTCACCATACTACTCCCTCGTCCCTTCATTTTACCTTTCCCCAACTTTAAGCAACACCCCCCTTGGTTTACACTCTAATGTGACAGCTTTCAACTTCGGCGTTGGCCTACCATTGTATCCAAATCATACATTTATTCCTACCACCATTAATACAACCATGCCTAATGCAGTCGTTTCGTATCCATCGAATTTCGCCAACCAGCTAGGTGCTTCTACAATGTCATTTCCACCAAACGTAACCAGCACCACTGCAACGTGCAATACAACAAGCTTTCATGTAGGTACATCCTTTCCTATACCTCCGACTATTCAACACAATCACTGCATCACCTCCTTCGCAGATCTGCCCAGTGAGTTACAAACATCTGCAATGCTTGCCACTTTAGCCCTTCCAGTTGCTGACAGTCAACATAGCTTAGGTCAGTGGGGACCACATTTGAAATATGGTACTTATGGTCGGCTCCCATCTCCCCTTGACCTAGAAGCTTTTAATTCTCATAGGCAGTCATCTGAGTTCGGACAGAATCAAACAAACCAATTATCCTATTCATCGCCTGATTTGTCAAACAAATCTCCCACTGCTCCTAATAAATCAGTCAAAATGCCTCCTCCACCCCCCACCTTCATTCTTTTAAGAAGGCAGCCATGGTCTGTGCACTCCAGGTAAGTGAGCGTAAGCTGTACATTTTCCTTAATTCACCAGTGGCCATCGTCTTAGTCCCACTTTGCTACGATGCATTAAAAGTGTAAGGTGGCATCAGTGTTAGTGCCCCAATGTAATGTATTTACTACCTTATTGATATTAGATCCCATAATTCATTTCTTCGTTCTGTAGTCCGTCTATTCGGGCTAACGCACATTTTTACCACACTGTATATTGTGACTAAGCTTTTTTCAATAATTGTAACGACATAAAGTAATGGTCTGCTTATTTTTTATTTTTATCGTTGTAAGATAGACTAGTCAAAAGCTTTTAGTGCCAATTTAGTAACAAAATTTAAATGTTGATACGACTTATTTCATGATATCGTTAGGTTTGTCAGGTATTTACAGGGTAATTTTCAGTCACCTAGGTATCTTTATGTTAAGATTTTCTTATCAGATACTAGATTTTGGCTAATAGCTTGACAAATAAAAAAATACGTCTTACAGTATGAGTTACTTCTTATTGTTCTATGCAATTCATATGTTATTTATTTATTTAAACATAAACATTGGTAAAAATGGGCACCGAATACATATGCGCCGCACAAGTCACTTGATTTGCGTGTGAGCTGTGATACTGCCCGGGTGCCCAGACCAAAGCAGGTAGTTTCCTTAGGAGGCCACACCCGCAGTCTTTGACCTAGAAGTCTGATCCACAGGGCAGTGGAGCAACGTTAGAAGATGCAGTCCTATGGTAGCCGGTGACCAACAATTGGTTCGTACGCCATTTGTTCCTTCAGGATTCTGGAGCCCATGTGCATCATTGGTTTAGAATCAGGGTTTTCCAACTCCCCTAGGCGAACTCTCCATACTCACCAACCCGGGTAGAGCGCCGGACATTCGCTTTTCGTCCTCTCAATTTCGTAAACAACACCCCCGTTAGTTATAGTTCATTCGCCTAATACAAATGTATATGATACCAACCTGCCAGCTAAATTGAAGTGAACGAAGGAAGATCGAATTTGCAGTTTGACAGTTGGTAGCCAGGTTCTTGAACCGTCACTAATAATAAATCTGCTATCAGTTATTTGATTGTTTAGTTTATTCAGTTTATTTTTAAAAAAATTATTATCGTCTTAATCAGAAAAAATCTTTTCAACATTGTAAGCTTAAAGGATTATAAAAGGCTAATGTAACTATGTTGCACCCACACTACACATTAAAGTCCTCAGGTTCAATATTTAGTTGAATCACGTATACATTCCACAACTAGTGTTTATTATCTCAAAAATGCTTAAGAAAATACGACTAGACTGGGATGACTATTTTGGGTAGTCAAGTATTAAATATCCCTCAAAAGAACATTAAACTTTAACGAGAAGTGTTTATCTGTAAAGAACTGATGTCTGATGTATTGCCAAATTTGTGCGTTTTCAGAATATATAGAAAGTTCTGTTTGGTTCATTTTCTGCAGAACTATCATCAATGTGGTTCCGATAAGATCTTCATTGCATATTTTTATGAAATCGAAACGAACTTGCGTTCATTTTGCTGCTACCATACTCTAGAGTATTCATTAAGAAATGTGATGCCAGGCTTAAAACGATCAAACTACACTCTTTCGTGAGCTAAATTTTATTTGTTGGTAAATTTATTTAACATCGTAATTATCCTATATCTTGAGAAATGTTGGTAACATTACATTTTACTCTCATCTTCGTTCAACATACAAACTTAATGTCTATCAATTCATTCATCCCACCATCTGTCTTTAATTCAAAGCTATGTTGTCGGGAGCGTGGAAGTGAACTATTTCTTCGTGAAAAGGAAAGTTGTAGTGGCTTATCCATTGACTTTGTGAAGGAACTAGCCCAAGTAGTTGAATCCAGTATTGGCCTTCGACCACATATATTTTTACAAGAATCACAGATCTTCCCCAGAGGGAACGTTCCTTTTTTCTGAATACTGAAGTTCAAAAATATCCTCAGAATCACCTATCTTCTGTAAGTGTTTTTTCGTAACTTTACGCTTTTAAGTTATCACTACTAATCGTCTTATTGCAGTTTGCATAAAACCGTTAACTAGACTAAATTTTATGTTCCTCGATGATTATTAGTGAGATACATCGACGATAGTTTAGACAGAAGAGGGTTTACTCAGAATTGTGAATATTTTGCTGATAATTATTAAGTGAGATGCTGTGTTCATGGCCTCTACAGATATCCAAATATGTTATATCTACTGAAGAGCTACTGAGCACTATGTTATTTCGTGTTTTATAGTTGATAGTGTTCAGTCAGGACTAAGTTCAAACAATAATTTGATCAGCATTTGCGGTCATTTCTTGCAAATAGACGTTGCTTGTTTGTGTCGTATTTGTTTTCCTGAGAATATCTTGAGTATTTTTGGAGGTGTGAGGGTGACTATCCTATACCGTGAAAGAATACTTCTTGAGATGTCTGGAAAGTAAACTGGGTTAGAAGGTCATAAAACCTGGAGGCCTGATCTCAGAGCTTAAGGACAATTGCTTGAAGTCGGTCACAGCCTTTTTGCGATTGGTTTCATGCGTGTTAGTTTCGTATTTTTAAGCCCTTACAAACCCACGTTACTTGCTTGATTTATTTTCTTATCTACATAGATTTCAAATACCGAAAAAGCATATGATATCAAACAATTAATTGCTTGTGATCTTTTGATTGGAGATGTGTTAATTGCAGAATCACTTTCTGCGTCTAAATCCCTCGCACAAATCTGCACTGCGCGACAGGTATGACAATTTAGTTAGCTTATTGTTATGAATGTTCACATTTATTTGACGATAATTTTAATCACTAACTGACGTCAGTTGACGAACCATAACAGATACTTGATTTCTATCTCTTTAGTTCGTGTATCTCTGAGAGACCCCATTTAAAAATAATATCCTAGTGCTCTCCAAAACTCTTAGGTTTACTTACATACCAATTGTTACTGTCAACCTTGAGCTGCTTGTTGTATGACGGCTGATAATGCAACTTGTTTGTTGAACACATAATTGATGTAGTGAAATTTGGACGCCTTACTCTAATGGAAATTTACGTGCTGTGACATTCGCTTAGCTAATGGACCATAACTTTCCAGTGGTCGTCCAAATATCATTGGATAATTAAGTAGAGAAATCCTCACATCCACTTGACTGAATAGATACATTCACTGTCTACAAAATTCAGTGATGCTACTCTAAATTTTATCACTTTTTCCTGAGTAGTGATAATTAAAAGTTTCGATTTAACTAGAGTGAATTGTTTGCATTATTAAAAACCAAAGTACTGGAAATCATGAAGAATATCTTTCAGTAGTACTTAAATATCTCTTTATTCTAATTAATTCTAATTTGTTTGTTTCCCACGTAGTAGGATAATAGCTTCGTTTATTTTGGTTTGGCTATTGTTTAACTCAAGCACATCGTTGAACGGATTGAGCAGCATAATACTCTTTCTTCTAAAGGTCGTTGAAAACTAAATGCTTAGTTATAGAGATCAGTATAAGTTAGATAACCGTTGAAAACCTGAAAGCACTGGGCAGCTGATAAATGTTGTGCCGCTGCATTTATCAACAATGGTCGGGTTTTGTTCTCTCTACCCATGATAAAGTTACGGAGTTTGTCTCCTGAAATTTTTATTTGCGACATATATCTCCATGTATTTAAAACTTTAATATAACCATTCTCTCGCTTGTATTCTAGGCCTTTCAGATTTTATCTCGACCTTGTTTCCTCGTCGGATCTGTACGTCAGTGGGAGGAGGTGGAATACTTGGTTTTATGTTTAAGTCCGAAAGCTGAAATAGTTCCTAAACTATCTCCATTTCTCAAGGATCCTTTTGAATCCGACTTCGAAAAAGATGGTGATTTTGAAGGTGGTGAGAGCATCACCACAGTATTCACCCCTAAACCATTTGATGATATGTGGATTTACCTAGCGCAACTTTCAAAAGAAAAATTACATGATCAGGTACTAAATTCTTATTATTTATTACTAACGGCATTAGGAATGTTACTGGATTAGAAGAAAATAAGTAATGTTTGTGATTATATCCGTCTAAACTCCTATCTTAGTAAATAGTTTTCAGTTGATGCATCACAATAAAAACTGTTCTAAACTCTTTATTCGTGCTTCCTGTATTATAGACGTTTTGTACGACTCAATCTAACTGCCAGAAACTTCATGAAAACAATCTCATATCTTGGTCTTATCATCTTTAACCTTTTTAACAGCTTTTATGGTACCCAACATGATTCTACATAAGAAGAGGAGGCTGAATCTGTGTAATACCTGTTCTATTCATATCGATAGATAGAGGCTCAATACTTTATAATCCTATTTATCACATTCATCTAGTACTTTGTGGACTTGCTGATTCAACCATGATCAAACACTACTTAAAAGACACTCATGATTGAATGTCTTCAAACTACCATGTTTATGATGTAATATGTAGTGGACTTACAAAATATACTCTCTGATAGATAGCTGAACGTTACCCGTGTACAACATTTGTTGCCAAATTTCAAATGTGGCTTTTATCCCCTTTGAGACGTCAGGTAACAATCAACCAATGCTGATAATGCTCCCAAGACAAATGGATTACCAAGCACGCTCAGTAACCTTGTTCCCTATTCCAAGTTGCGGATAAACACAGATCATTCCTAAAATAAATTTTGTACTGTTTTTAGGAAGCCACATCTCTGTACCCTGATCGAACAGGACTACGTAATTTACATATTCCGATTCAATGAAAGTATCTTCTGTCATGAGACTGAATCGTACAAGTGGAACTTAGTTAATATCTATAACAACTAGATTCATGAAGAAATCAGTAAAAGTTGATAAAATGAACTTTTCTAACATAGTTACTTTCATTGATAACACTGCTTAATTATTAAGATTTTCGTGATTAATTCATTAGGACCTGTTTCTCAATATCACTTGAAATTACTTATCCTTCAATGCCTCGCTAAAAAGTAATTTGTCCAGTTCAAACCCCAAAGTAATTGATCAGGCATTTTAATGTTCTTAGATCCTTACCATAATCAGAACGCACCAAAATAATTCTTACAACACCATAACTTCTCTCTAAGTCATATCGTTAGCACTTTTATTTTGGAGCTGCTCTCTCTATGTTAAAAAATGGCGCTTGTAAAAATCAAACAGTCGCCACACTACACTGAATCAATTACATGTATCGTTATCTTCTTGATCTCTTACGGTGCCATCTATTCAGAAAGCGCTTTCAACAATATCTAGCTATCTCAGTTCGATTGTAATATAGGTTAACAACAGTAGTTAAAAAAACAAATGGAATACTTATCTAACATAAACACTGGGATTTACCAGTTCTTCAAACTGTATTCGGTTTAAAAAAAAACGCTCAATCTGGCGTAGTATATTTAGCTACACACTTAACATTTTATCGTCCTTATAAATAATCAAATCATTCTTTTTTATCAAATTCGATAAAATTGAAATCTCTGTGTCAATAGTCCTCATTTATCAAAATATGTCATCTAACCACCAATCAGTGTATGTTCATATTTTTTGTTATAGTTTGCCCAATATTGTGATTTAAAAATCTTTACATTAACCACTATGATGTTTTAGCATCCTCATCCATATCTGTAATTTACTGTTGATTTTGTAAAGGTTCATCTAGAGAGAATCTTGGCCCAGTCTGCTGAATTCAGTCAAATGCTTATCAGCTTTGAATTTGAAGTGCAAACAACCACTGGTCAAATTATATGCAATACATTAATTGATAATCAGCGTTGTTTAAGCGTTGAAAGTCCAAATCTTCATGGTGCTCAGCAATCGGCACTGAGTAGTCTGTTGAATAAATTATGTGCTACTCAACCTGTGGTTGGTTTAATATTCTCACGGGAAGGTAAAGTTGCCATAGGCCAGTCATCAGCTGTATTTTTCCCTTAATTGACTGTAGTTTTTGTAATTGTACCTTTAATACATTACCAATTGTACTGTTTTATGAATATACGAATATATTTCTTCAGTATAAAACTGTGCCTTGTTTCAATCAGTATTCTTTTTTGATCATTTCAATCCCTTTGTATATATGTATGATTCAAGTGCGTTGTCTACTGATCTTTCTGTTTGATTTGTTCTAATTTTCCTTTCATATATATATATATATATATATATATATATATATATATATATATATATATATATATATATATAGTTGCCATTATCCTGAGTCGACGATGATGATATTATCGATTCACCTGGAAACGATTGAACAAAAATCGGTTTTGTTTTGTTGCTGTGATCTCAAGTTACTGACGTTATTTCTCACTCTTCTGTTATTGCTATGTGGTCTAACGTGTCACATGACGAAGGAATTTAATTATTGACTGAAACAATTATTTTTTATAATTAGGTAGACCATACTGATGAGTCCCACTTCAAAATTCGGTTTGCCCCATACTTGCTATACTCTGTAACATTGCATTTCGTAACTTAGCTTTATATCCTAAATCTGACTTTAGATAACCGTTTAGCTACCAATCCCATCGATATAAATTTTTTCAAAGATGGATGTGTATTGACCGTTTGCTAAATATTTGCTTATTCTCACGTCAAGAGTATTTTAAATGCAATCCTCATTTCTATTTTTTTTCAAAAATTGATAACAGTTTGATATCGACTTTTTTAACAGTTAAAAAGTACTCTGGTTGCATTAGTATATTAACGTCAGGCTATGTCATGAGAAGTTTAGACTTATTATCCATGTCTTCAGTCAAATCTGGTTTCGGTTCAGTTTACCACACTATTCAAAACAATCATCACAAGTCTCGTCTATTGCAGTAATTGTAAATAATTAAGTCCATTACCATCTTTCAACAAACTATTAGTAATTGGGTCTATCTCGTAGTACACTTTTAAATGGTAAATTCTTTCTCAAATTTCCTTAATTATTTGTTAACGACTTATATTCAAATTTTTCCTATCAGTAACAAAAACAGAATGCGCACTACTGGAGAGTCTCGTACTAGTATAAAGTGGACGTCCAATGCTTCCGGGTTTTCAGTGGTTGTCTTACTTGCATTGCTTTGTGATTTGAATAAAACCCAACAATTTTCCCAGACAAAGATCTCACAATCTAAAACTTGTGTATTAGAGTTCATTTTAAGCTGCATACTTATTATCTGATCTGATTATGACGTCTAAGTTATTTGATCCAAGTGGATTGTTTCAGTAGAGATAACTCCAAACAGCTTAATTAACTGCTCCTCGAATTAAGGTGGATGAGACATATGTTACGTATGCCCAACCACCTGTCTTGACAGGCTATATTTTGTGTAGGAGCAGACTAGAAAAAAGCTAGCAGATGTCAAACCAAGACCTGACCCCAGCCCATGAGGAAATTGATTATTAGACTTAGTCTTGTAGGTAGGTTCAGGCTACCTGGTTGGGATCCCCGTGATTATCGTAACCGATGATTAGCAACTTTGAATAGCATGAGTCAAGATCGTTTGCCTTAAGCCAGGTGCATTCACACTTTGTCTTCCCTTGGATCCTAAATTGCTAATAAATATCTTTACTCATTTATATTTTTTTCTCAAAATCATCTTCAATGCCTAATTCTCCTATCACCACTAATACTGTTACTACCCCCGCTACTCTGGGATTAGCAAATCCACCTCACTGTACTAATGGGGAACCGATGTACACACTTTCCGGATTCTGCGATGCATTTGACTAACAAGTTATGTCGAGAGTAATCGCTGTCCCTACTTTCACATACATTTCAGCCCAATGGTTTTCAAGGGCTGATTTCCAACATTAATAATAATATACAAGCAGAGTTCTCTGTTACTGCTGCATTCTCAACAAACAGTCATCGTCTACCAAGAAAATCTCAGGTGTCTCTAGAGAGGTTATTCAACATTGGCTACTACGCATCACTCATAATGCAAACAGTAAACTCACATGCTTATCACAAGGCAAATATATGGCAAAACATTGCTCTTCTGTCTAGAATATGCCTGTCGGAGTTAACTGTAGCTTTCAACAAAGAAGGCAAGTCACTGGGAAATTCAAGCAAACCATTCAAAAAGCTTTGGTTGATCACTTCATTCTTCGACTAATGGTTACTGCAAAAATGAAGTTAGTCCTAATTGGTGAAAGTTTGTGGCTTATTGTGGAAATTTAGGTCTCCATCCTTCTACAAACTCCATAAACATCAGTTGAAAGATGTTCATCCTAATGTTTATGCATGAATGTTAAGTGGTATTACTCCCATTTTTCATACCTAGGACTATAAATTGGAGAAACATCAAATAAAACTACCGCTCCTTATTTTTATATCATATATTTACTAACCTCTGTATCATGAACTGTTGTGATGAAATATTCGCCTAACGTCCGATAAGTCTGCTTCATGCTTATAATCGCAGTACCAAAACGTTTATTTACTAGTTTGTAATTCCCCTGTCATCGGCCTATATATATATATATATATATATATATATATATATATATATATATATATATATATATATATATATATATATATATAATAGGCATAACTGTCTGTCACTCTCCGTCCAGTTTACCGTTTAAAATAAGAAACTTCCATGTCTTGTAGTTGTTTGTTCAACATCTAATAGGGTTTGCATATATCTGATTTTTTGGATGAAAATGCGTAAGTCAAGATTTTAGAAAATCATAGGAATATTTCTTTACTTATCTGATTGGACCACAGTAATGACAACTTCTGTTTTATTGGTGAGTTTATCTAACTTAAATAATAAAAGCTATTTGATGATGGGACTACAGACTCATTTATATTACTAAATTTTGTAACAGGTATTTTATAAAAATAGAGACAAGTGTTCACATATTATTGCTATTCATTGTTTCTGTTCTCATACAGTACTAATAAATTAATTCAACTTAATGTAATCAGATAATTGTCTGTACTACCTCTGTACATAATGTTTGATGTTCACAATTTGAAGATCTGTTATAGTATTAAAACTGTTCTAATTTTGTGTTGTTTATCTTGCTAATAATTTGATGTCTATAAACCATATGACTTCCATGCATTGTGAATTATTATTGCAGAAGAATTCGAAGATGACACTACTTCATCTCTCTGGGGAATTCCTGAATACCTCATGGTTGAAAATCTCATGTGGGGTAAAGAAGAACTGGATTCACCTATACATTTTGAACAACTAGAAGCTCACTGTGAAATTCCAACTCTATCTCCAACACATCTTATTTGTGATGGTACGTGATTTACTCATAAATTCCTGAACGAAGTTTAACTTATATGATGCATTAGTGTTCCTTGTTCCCTATAAAAATTATGGCTTCCTAATCTCTTCTCAATTTGAAATATCTGCTTACAACTTTATCGAATATATTATTTCCAATAATGGTAGTTGAATTGAAATAAGACGTTCTGATCATTAAAAGTTAATCATTAAAACTTAAAACCCTAGTGATTTTCACCCTCACGTTTATTAATTGACTGTTGATCCTTTCACTGTGGCGTTCCAAATCCTTATTTAATGTTGACTTATAACTACTTCAGAATTCGTGATTGCATTCTGCGAATTCCGTTTACCATGGGATGTGACCTCACCTAATACTATTAGCCAGGATACTTCACATTAATTAAAAGACGTTGATTGTTCAGTATACAATTTTTGTGCGTTTTGTGATTGCTTACTGATTATCACTATTCAGAACTATAAAATAACATAATTCCTAATTTTTGAATAAATAAACTTTTGTATATTTTATTTTTCTTTAGGCTCAGATACTGTTAACAATCATGATGGAATAAATTGTACTAATCGATTCTCGTCGCCTATCTTAATAGAAAGCTATCTTCAGGCGTATGCTGCTTCAGCTTTAGTCTCACCGATTTGCATATTTCCTACTGTCGTTCCCAACAATCTCTGGCCAGTCGTACAACAACATGCTAGGCGTTGGGGTTTGTTAAGTCGTGTGGAAGTAAAGCGTAATCCAGACCCTTCCAGTTTTCTTATCGTTTGTAAACGAGTCCCACTCTCTCGATTAAAAAGATCACTATACGATCAACAACAATATGGTTGCTTTTGTCTAATCGATAAAGGCAATCTTACAACTGAAGCTTTAAAGCGTTTGTATCAAGCTGATCCACTTTGTTTTAGTGAGGATGATTCAATAACACCAAACGATAACATTCAATCATCTGATCATATGACTAACTTCAACTTATCATCTTCCTCACCACCAACGTATTTCAGAACATCGGACGAGTACAATGATGAACCAGTTACTCGTTACGCTCGTGAATTCCTTTCTACACATAAAACACGCATCAAAACAGAATCTAATGAAGATAATTGTAATCTAATCAATGATGATTGTGTACTTGTAACAGCAGAACTTAATCAACCATCAAATGCTATTGAAATATTAGATGATCTTCCTAAAACACTTATACCGGGTATAGATTTTTAGTAATTGATCTTTTTTTTAATCAAATTAATAGAACTAGATCTTTCTTCAACTTTAGATATTTTGACACCCGGTACAATTTCATAAAAATTTTTTTTTCTGACTATTTAATGATAACAAATTGAAGAGCATTTTTATAGTTTTGCATTTACTCTGTTATTCTTTAGTTTCACCCAGTGTTAATTCGTATCATCATTTTCGTACGCCATGATATATATATATATATATATATATCACAATTATTGTTTTGTATAAATGATTTGTTTTCTTTTCGGCAATTATGGATCATCTGTCAAATCATGATAATAATTTTTCTTGATACTTTGTTCTTTTTTGTCGTTGTTGCTATTTTCTTTCTTACAATGGTTTCTTTTTTGTTTGTGCGCAATTCGTTTCAGTGTTTTCCCTTACATTACAGGTAAAATATTATTTTAGACGATAAAAACGGTTGATTCATACGGTAAACATGTTTATTTGAATTGTTACGGATAGTATTTCTATAATCAGTTTTGTATAATAAGATACAAAATGACTAGTAATTCTGTTTGTTTTATTTATGCTATTTATTTTAGTCGAAAATTCATCGTATTAGGTGATTTTGACTATGTCTTACATTCAACTATCCAATTTAAATCAGGTGGTATTGAATATCGACTCATTTTATTATTATTGTTATGAGTCGTGGTTTCTTGTTACCATAAGTACACTGATCTGAGATACTTATATATAATAGTTTGTGCTCAGCAAGGTTACTGAGAATCAAGATAAGGATACGGTTTAATAGCATATTAAATGATATAACTAAGATCATGTATTAATGAGTTTAACATAATAACTAAATAAACTAGATCACCGTATACACGATCTAGGTTCACTTGACTCAACAAGCTGTCACTGATATTCTACTTGTATTTTAGGATAGGAATATACAATATTTTGAAAATCCACCATAGTAGTTCAGCTTTAAGTATTTTCATTCGATGGGACAATCGTGTGACTGGTTACTCTAACCTTTCTCATCATAACATCTAATAATGATCATCTAAGAGTAAATTCAGATATTCTATGAATTTTCCAAAATGATCTATCACCATTGTTCTCTTCTTAACAAAATATTCATACTAACGTCTAATAACATCCCTTATAGTGAATGAAATCAAATATGCCAAATATTTTATTGATATCATTCGAATTATCTGTGTCGTCAAATAATTAGTATTCACTTGAAATAAGTAGGTTGCGAATATCATATCGAAATAATACTGAATAATAAGTGAAAAGTCATTGTCTAAACCTCACTAATGTATAATCTCACATTAATTGTTAAGCAGGTTCACTGGATTCTCAGCTTTACTGTTTTTATTAGAGGTACGAGGTGAAATGACTGATAATAACAAATTGTCACCAAATTCGAGAAATCACAGTATTTGTTGAAAGTAGACTTTTAGATATCTACGTCCCTGGGGGATCAATAGGCTACAACGTAGGACCAGACACATATACATCCGTCCAAGTTGCCATACCTCATTAGCACAACAAGGTGAACACTAAATTCATAGGATTAGTTACTTCAATGGTTGTAATATATGAAAGAAAAATTGTTTATAAGTATATAGTACTGGAAGAATGAATTAGTTCGTAAAAAGAAAGGTATGAAGTAATTTTAATCTCATAGTATAAGGGCAGTCAAATAATTTATACAACGATGAACAAATTTCAAACGGTTAAAAGCTTGGTACTCACTTTTCTTGATGATCCTCCTTATTTATGTGCGTGTTTTTTCAGTCACATCTTTATTAATGTTGACCAGCTTACGTACATTCCACAATTCACTGTTCTGTGGGTAAGCAAGAACAAATTCGAATGGTGTGAAGATTAAAATTAACTATGATTATTCCAGTATACGTGTATATTTCCCAAACATATCACGGCATCGAGTTTCATTTTGAATACTTGTCTAATCTGAGAAAAAGTATTTCCAACTAATTATTCAGCCAGTTTCTCGTTCGAAGTTGAGAGCATAGACTTTTGGATTGCTACGTAATTACTCGATGGTTTTATGCTCACCATGAGTCACTAAATTCTTGAAGTTATATATGTGTGCACCGTTGTATGGTCTGTAAGTAAAAGCTAGAATCTCTGGGCTTTGTTAGTTTCCCATTTCTTGTTAATTCTCGAGTGAGACCTATCTTTAACTTAAACACGATCTTTACTGGACACATTGAATACGTTATCTTCAAAATGATAGATTTGTGATATTCGAGTGGATAGGAATTTGAATTTCACCCCAGGGAGTTAACTTTTTCAAATTCAGGTATTAAAAGAAAAATATCAGATCAAATTATGAGCAAATGCACACAATTCTAGTTGTTTCTTTGGAGTGATATATTCAAGTAGTCTATTTTGTATTCTTATCTGTATAGGTGGTTGCAAGTAAATTTAGGATTCGAGGTATGTCTAATTCAATCTATAGGTTTGTCTTTGAAGATTTATTTATTTGAACACTAATATTTGTACGAGGGGGCACCAGATATATATGCGCCACACAAAACAATGAGAACGGGAAGACAAAAAGAAGGTAATGTGCGCATAAAAAAAAAGGACAATAACGACCACAGATTAGTGTATGGTAGTGTAATATTAATAATAATAGCGACGGAATCGGAAAGGTACAACCAGAATTCTTTCAGTTAAGGAAGTTACAACCACTTTTTATGAAGAAAGTAAAAGAGGGTTACAGCAGGATCGCCAGTGGCTTCTATTGAGCCATATCTCATAACGCCTCTAGCCACTGTGTGTAAGTCAATTATTCTCAATCTTCATGATTCAAAAATCTAGTGTCTAATGTCAGTTTAAATTTAAACAGGATACATAAATATATTATTGTAACATGCTTGTGGAGATTGTCGGATTTCATGGTTTACCTTACTGATCGATTGTAGTCAATCAAGTATTTAAAACTACGAAGCACTGTGCAGTTGTTTCGTCCTAATAAAGGCATCTTCTGAAGTGCACGCCTACATCCTCATTAGGGATTGAATCCAGGACTATCACCTCTACAACGAATGTTTAATCCTTAAATCACTAAGTTGTCACCTAGTGACCCATTTTTATCTCAGAATAATTCTCTGTATCGGAAAACCATCAAAGCAAGCCAAACTTAACCCAGCATCCTATGTCTTCTAAACAAGAGGAATTCGGGTAGTTTAGCATACTTTATGAAGCCTTTACATCACCCAAGCATACAAATTTTAATTATTATTAACGCGTTTTAGATACTACTTAAAATATACAAGTAGACAATATGATTGTTACTACAAAACTGGGTTTCAATTGAATATAAACGTGGAATCTAGGGGTTTCTTGAATTGTTTATTTCAGTGTTATAAATTGGTGTTATTTATAATAAGAAATTAAGTCACGCGTATATGGACCTTCAAAGATTTGCATAGAAGTTAAGCGTGACTCTTCGCCTTGAGATAATCTAAAGTTGAACAATCTATAAATTTCTTATTTGGGAGATCCTGAAAGTGTTTGTTAGTGCTAATTTTCATTACCACGATGGCATGCTTTGTGATCTACCAATATGGGATATCAGCACTTATAACATTTTATACATATTCTTTGTAACGCGTCAATTTTGTTTTGGTTTCATCAAGATGATTTTTCGTACTTTTGCAAATTATTCAATACTGACGTTATTCATTCATCTATAATTTCTGACTGTTATGGTGTAGAAGTGAGTTGCTGGTTTATAACATTGACCAACTTGTACTTCCTTGTGGAATTAATCAGTCAACTGGCTTTAAATTTTAGAATAGCGGGACAGTTTACTAAAACTGTATAACGAATCTGTTGCTAATCGATAACTCTCTTCGCTGTTGTGTAAAATTACGTCAGTCAACTAAACTACGTTGGGTAACTCAGTCACATATTATATCTTCCAGTAAACATTTAGACGGGAATTTGGTTCATTTTGGATATCTCATTCATTTATTTGAAATTTAAAACTATAAACAGAATTAAGATTAGTCTAATTACACAGTGAGAACCAAGTACCATATGATTAAGGATTGACGGGACGATAATTTTATTGTTCAAATATATAAAGCCTCCGAAGTTATGTTTCAAGTAAATAAATTAGTAGGCGCTTTACTACCACTAAAATAGTAGCTAGTGATTATTCAGTTTATGGATTTGCTTTTTTACCTCTAGTTAACCGTCTCAAAGTATAAATGACAATGAGATTTCCAATTATATCTGCAAAACCTAAGAAAGAGTAAAACAAGAATATACACCATCTATCTACTTTCTAATATACTGGGATTAGTTTAGAACTGTTAGAAACATGCGGTCATATGTATTTTACATTATTCATGAATGAAATGTAGATAATAATATACTTGTAAAATCAAGCAACTCTTACTGATTTACTTGTGACATTGAATTAGGCTCTATCAATTAATCAACTGTCATTTCAATAAACTATGCCGAAAGCTGGTTTGATTTTGGAGTAAATAAACACTGAGAGTTTAAAAATATCACCAAATGAAAAAAAACATTAACTCATACCTAATCTTTTCTTAGCTATATTGTGGTATAGTGGTATACCGAACAAAGTGTGGTAAAGTTATACGACGCAATAAGACAGTACTTCTAGTATGGACGTGATGACGATAATATAGTTAACAGGTAAATAATTCATTATGCTGACAGTTATGTACTCTTGGCAACCTACTTCATATACGTGAATTGTAAACCCTCTCTCAATAATTAAAAGCATTGTAGTGAACGACAACACACAAATGGGAACAAGTGAATGCATTTGAATATGAAATTAAAGAATGCCTTAATCAAATCTGAGAACCATACAATAAATACTTCATTTACAAAGTGTTAATCAATCGTCTCAGGCTTGATTGTTCCTTAGTTTCCACACCAATCATTCTCTGTTCTCGTTCTCTTTTATTCGATCTTCTTAATCTTCTGCCACCAGACATTTC